ATGTCTCGGATTTCCACCTCCTGATTCTGTTTGTCCACATGAATCCAATATGAATGGCAAATCTGTCCAAGCTACAGATCGATATGATAGTTCGAATCCTGACAATAGACATAGGAGAAACCTTTGTCAAGTATGCTATTCCTGGTAATGTTAGGTGATTTTTTCAGTATTCAGAATTTCGATTATTTAAAATAATGATTATTTCAATGGTCTGGTAAAAAAACAAACCGAAAATTGACTGCGCTCAACAATGACATAATTTTTATCAAATATTTTTATGGTTAACATAAGCTCTGAAAGGTTCTAAACTTAAGGAAAAATAATACGAAAATTCAGTCACGTTAAGCTACTGGAGAAACCTTTTTATACCGTTATTTGAAGATTGCTATTGAGAGCTTACCTATCTTAGATTATTAGTGTCGGTTTCCACATATTATATTGTGATGAACATTTTTTGTGTAAGTTTCATTTTTTTGACGACTGTATCTAAACGTTCTCGAGTCACTGTCCGGTTGAAAATTGTAGGCTACCACCGAATACGAGGACTGAAGCAGATTTTCTGAAACCACGTGCATCATTCAAACTGGCTGCCTTCAACGTTCGCACATTTATGCAGGTCGGACAACAGATAGGGCTGGCTATGTCTTTGGAAAGTCTTAATATCGACGTGTGTTGTCTATCCGAGACCCGTATTCAAGACTCTGGCGAAGTACTACAAATTCGATCTCCATCTGTCGCTTCGAAAAGCTTGTTTTACGTGCGCTTATCCGGGGACCCTGTGGCATCTTCGTCTGGTCTTGCTGGCGTTGGTGTCGCACTAAGCGCTAGAGCTGAGGCAGCACTAGTCGATTGGATCCCCATTAACAGTCGGTTATGTGCTGTTAGATTAGAAAGTTCCATCAAAGTGAGAAGAAATCGGCGTGAGAAACGATGTCTTTTCGTCATCTCCGCCTATGCCCCGACAGATTGCAGCCCGGATGCAATCAAGGATGAGTTTTACCACCAGTTATCAGTTCTTCTCCAGAAAGTGCGTTCGACAGATATTGTAGTACTAGCCGGAGACTTGAATGCTCAGGTCGGGCGTCTAGGCACAGAAGAGAGTCGTTTAGGTGGCCGATGGGGACTCGTTGGTCGCAGGTCAGATAACGGGGACCGTCTACTGCAACTTTGCACAGACCACAACCTGTTTCTGGCTAGCACTAACTTTCGGCACAGTCATCGCCGATGTGCCACCTGGCGTCCTCCCTCTGCATCTCAAGCCTGGACTCAGATTGATCACATCGCGATCAGCTACCGCTGGCGTGGTTGTGTACAAGACTGCCGCTCCTTTTGGAGTACCTATCTGGACTCTGACCATGCCTTGGTCTGCGCCAATCTTGCCTTACTTTTCAGTGGACAACGAAGTGAACGCCATCAACGGATTGATGTTAGCAAGCTGGTTGCAACTTCTGTTGCAAGTAAGTATCGAACCGAGCTAGCCTCTAGGCTAGCTACCACTCCACCGAAAAGTATAGATGAGCATTGGTTGCAATTGCATGACGCCATGAAAATGGCGGGAACAGTCAGTTGTGGGTTTGCGAAACGTCCCGCTTTTAAGCACTGGGTTTCTTCTGGTTCCTTACAACTCATTGAAGCCCGTCGGTCTACTCCGGGTAACCGTGAGTTTGACCATAAACGAAGGTTTTTACGTAAGGAAATCGGGCAAAGCTTGCGTAAGGACCGAGAAGCCTGGTGGTCGATGCGTGCTAATGAGCTGGAAGCAGCAGCTGCATCTGGTAACTACCGGAAGCTCTTCCAACTCATCCGAGCCACTGGCAGCAAGAAGTCTGGTGTGAGTGAAACAATCTGCGAGGATGATGGGATGCCAATCACTAACATCCATCGACGTCTTGGACGATGGGCAGAATTTTTCGAAGGGCAGTTCAACTGGCCTGCTGCTCCGGTAACATCGGTCAGACTGTCCTGCCCTCCATGGCCGGTGACGACTGATCCACCAAATGAGGAGGAAGTCCGCAAGGAACTCCAACTCTTGAAGCGTTACAAATCACCTGGCCCAGATGACTTACCTCCGGCTCTTTTTAAAGATGGTGGTGACTTTTTGACTAAGGAATTGACGACGTTGTTTACAAAGGTTTGGGATCTAGAGAGTGTACCAACGTCATGGAATGAGTCGATAGTTGTCCCTATCTTTAAAAAGGGTTCACGTCGTTCTTGTAACAACTATCGGGGGATAAGTTTACTTCCGATTGCGTCCAAGCTATTGGCTTCCGTCATTCTTCGTAGGTTGTTCAAAACCCGAGAAAGATTGACTCGCGAGGAGCAGGCTGGGTTTCGTTCTGGTCGAGGATGTATTGATCATATCTTCACCCTCCGCCAAATGTTAGAACACCGCCATACTTTTCAAAGGCCAACAATCGTAGTGTTTCTTGACATCAGGGCTGCCTTCGATTCGTTGGATAGGACTGTTCTCTGGGATTGTCTATTGAAGAAGGGTGTGCCTGAGAAGTTTATTAACATCCTAAAAGCCCTGTATAAAAACACCTCAGGCAGAGTGAGGGCATACAACCACCTCTCTCCATTGTTCCATTCGAGCAGTGGGGTTAGGCAGGGTTGCCCAATCTCACCATTCCTCTTCAACTTTGCCATCGATGACATTCTGGAAACAGCTCTGATGAATGTAAGTAATGGTGGTGTGGATCTGTTGCCTGGAGAAAGACTTCTCGACCTTGAGTATGCGGACGATATTGTCTTACTGTGCGATAATGCCCAAGGCATGCAATCCGCACTTAATCAGTTGGCAATCAATGTCCGTAGGTATGGTATGTGCTTTGCACCTTCGAAGTGCAAAGTACTTCTACAAGACTGGCAGGATTCTAATCCTGTACTCACCCTGGATGGTGAGCAGATGGGCGTAGTTGAGAAGTTCGTGTATCTGGGTAGCTGCATAAGTGCTGGTGGGGGTGTGAGTGATGAGATCGCACCAGGCGACACAACCTTTTATGCTTTAGTAAACTTACAAGTTATTTATCTTCCGCTAATAATCACAATCTAATTAGCCTGTTTTGTAATCTTCCACAACATTATCGACTATTTCCGCCTTTATTGAAATATCACTGCAGTAAAATCCTTTTATATTCATTGTCTTGCCGATTTATCTCTCATCCGGCTACTTCCCGATTCGTATAGAGTATGCAGTCACTGCTAGGGAAGTCCTACTCACTGCTCTTTCGAGGTAGAGGTATTGTTCACGAGATTGAGAGGACGGAAAGCAAATGTCAGGAGCTTTAACCAGGTTGGTGGGTACAGAGGATCCACCTAGGGGAGTTGGAAAACCCTGATTCTCTATCTCTTCACAACCTCGTTTTTGTATGGTGCATATGTATTTGGTCCAACCTTGTACCAGTGTATATGTGTTCAGACAAATAAATAAATATTATGTGTTAGCCGATAACCTACATTCATTTACTGTCATTAATATAGTTTGGTAATCAAAGATAAAGTCTATTTGTATTAAAATAATCGTTTAATTCTCATACGTAAGCCAAGTAAAACATTTGAATATTGCACGTAATTTACAAAGCATATTTATGCTTTTCAAATATTAATGTGTATTTTATCATCTGACAAACGATTATATGGTAAACCTTTTTTATTAGATTCAACCCCCGAAGTCAATGTCCCGTGCTATACAATTTCATCGCATAGTGCAATTTCATCCAATAAAGTCTCGTTTACATTCCTCGGATCAAACCACAAATGAAGAAATGAAATTTAAGCGATGGGGATTTTGTAAGTCTTTATGGCATCAAGGTTCTGCTTTTTGGGGAACAAAGGCACTTTCAAAGCTACTTTCATGTCCGTAAGTTATATATGGAAGCTTATCCTTGAACAATACAGATAAAACCCCATGTTATATTTTAAGATGTTCAGTACTTTTATTCGTGGTCATAATACGTTTGTATTGGAAATGTTTTTTGATTAAGATTATTTTCATCCATTCTTCAACCCTTGATCTGTGCACTTAATGTAGATATGCAATTCTTTTATGTAAAACATCATCATGTTTATCATAACTTTTTAACTTTTTTTTTAGATGGATCATCGAAACGCCAACTTTAGATAAAGACAAACTACCTGTTCAAAAATGACTTTAGTTATACAGACGATTTCTTCCATTTTAAAATTCCCTTTGTCCATATATGTAAATCCCATGTAAATTACAAGTGTAGTGTAAATTATTATGCCGAATTTTGTATAATTAAAAATTATACATTGACATGCCTCACTTATTTTATTAGTCCACTGTTAGCATTTGATTCTCACATGGAAGGTGCAATTTGACATTTAGTGTTAAGCAACTTGGAAATGTAGTGCGTCAGGTAATTTTGGAGTTGATAGACTAAAATATTTACAATTACATCGTATTTTTTAAAATTCTTACTGTTGATTAAAATGTATCAAGATGCTGACATAACTTGACGTACAGTATTTACATATTAAACACTAGTAAAGGCATCCGCCAGGGCTAAGAATCTTCATCATCATTCAAAATGCAAAATTATTGAGAGATTTAGTGATTATTGAGGCTTATCATTAAGTTATCTGTGTTAAAGCAAGAAAGTTCTCTATTTTTATAGAAAATTTCTTTCAGATAACTCAATGGCGCTATTATGAATGTCACTGCTTTACCGTTTGGATTATAGCACTTGTATATTTCTCTTTCTCACAGTCTCTTTAATCGTATTGTTTTGGTTAACAACATCTAAGTATATGTAGTGAACGGCACAAAATATACATTAAACTGAGTTTCGTTTTTGTGCCAATTGGTTTGCTTTTCATACCCAAATTTTTACACTTCTTTTCTAGAGATCCCACCCAATGACCACTTAATATGTGCCGTGCATAGTTAGAAATAACTCTCCTATCCCTACATCTACAGTGTTTCTGGAATTTGCTTTCTATGCATATTGTGCAGATTGGAGCCATAAAATTAAGAAATGTTTAGATCAATCATCCATTTTTAAAAAAAATTAGGATTTAATATACAAACTATTGGCGTTAACTGTTGCATTTCCGTTCATCTTACAAGTAATCCATTTATAGCCATTATTGTTTTCGTATATCATTGAATCTTTTTCTCAAAATGTGGTCTGATCGATGGGAATAGACTTCTTAAATCGGTGACAAAATTCATTTGGCAATAGAAATACACAAATACTGTGAAACGTAGAGCTAAAATAGAACCATAAATAAATATTTATAAGCACAGATCAAGTCATTAACTATGCTAGTAAAGGTATATCAGATTGAATGTTAGAAAGGCTTAAGCAATGTTGGATAAATTTGCACAAAATTGATGAATTTATAAATATGTATTTGATATGGACTACCGTTTTATTAAATGTAATCCTGTTTCTTGGAATAATATGTATCATCTTATCTTACGCCTGTTACCCATCGTGTAGCACAGGACACCCACCAGAAATCTTTAACCGACTCTGTCCTGGGCTCATAATACAAAAATATGTATCATGATTAAAGGTATAATTCTACAGTCGCACTTCTACCTTAACCACCACCCTTGTTAAACTAAATCAGCATGAGTTACATAAATATCTATTTCATATTTGTCAACCATCATGTTTTACGTTATCTCTCAAACTGGATTGAATTATACGTGAAAGCTGAGGCATCTTTTACAATAAATCTGATATTTTGTGTGAATAACAGTTTTCAAGGATTGTCACCTAATTATGCAACATTAATGATGTTTTGCGTGGTGAATTTTCTTTAGCCCATAATACAGAAAATGTGATCGGATATAATTGGCCTCAGAGAGTGTATTACTAAGAAGAAATAAATAAAGCTCATTACTTATTCATTTATATAAACATTCATCAAAATTTGGACGAACAGTGTGCCATAAATCGGGTGCCAAGTATATATAAGGAAATATAAGGAAGACGCTCAGACCAGTTTTCCGGTCGAAGTGATGGAATCGTTTTAATTTCAATAGTCGAGATTATTTCAAATTATCACTTATATCCAATATCATTTTTGCAATAGCTTTTCGAGTTAAATCAGTTTATCATGAAAACTACTGGAACATCAGAATAATCCAACTTTGAATGACTTTTATTTTAAGTTATTCGAGTTATAGATACCCAGTTAGTTTATCCATCTAAAACATGTCTTTTACTTGCGCATAACTTATCTACTAATCTATCTGGCGAATCACTAGTTTTTAAAATTTCTATTCTGCTCACATTTTTACGATTAGGACGTTAGATTACAACCTCAGTTCCCTCTTCACAGAAGAGGTAATACCACAAATTTGTTAAAAAGCAAAAATCTCATCTTTAAATTTCACAGAACATAGGTCAAATTACATCTTGTCTTTATTCTGCTCCCAGTTCGTGATCAAGCCTATTTTCCAAAAATCACGGACTAGTATGAAACAAGGCATACATTACAAGTTAACGTATACTAATGGTGACCTACTGACAGAGCAACCTATTGTACACATTAATAAACAAAAACAGTGTAATTTATTAATAAGCTAGTTACTCTTCAAATACATCATTGAAAGTAAACGTGGAAAAATATTTTTAAAACAAATGGACTTTTGTCCAGTTTTTTTATAGGGGATTTTGCCACTAAGCATGTTTTACGCTTAAGGACGACGTCTTAATATGTTACCATAGCCATTAAAATGCAATTAAAAAATAGTACAACTAACTTGGATCATATATCAACCACACAGCTAGTTGATTTGCAACTTTCGAACCGAAGAGGAAGTGCAAATTTCCCAAAACTGAAAAAATTCCACTGGTTGCACAAAGTAACAGTGAAAGACGTCGAATCCATCTATCAGACAACTGATGACGCTAAATAGTCATTCATAAAAAGATTTCCAAAATAAAATTTGGTTAATTCTCACGTGTTTTGCATGATATGTTTATCACTAAAGCTTTTACCATCAGAGTTTAGTGGTCAACAAAAATCAGACTAAATTCTTGACGTCGCACTAATAATGCAGTGATATGAGCTTATTCTTTTGTTATGATTGGGTAATCTTTGGTGATTAGAGACAATAAACAAGAATCCCTGGAACTAAGTTTTGTTATAGTCGATACTTTTTAGTAAAGGATATTGTAAATATCGAGTTAACTGGTTCTCTCTGTGAGATATAGATCTGTGTTATCTAGTGTTGAAGTTTAGAAATATTCGGTGCGCAAATGGCCTACACGACTGAGATGGCAAAATTATTATTATTATTAATGGCTTTATTCAATACTATATTTTGGTACAATATAGAATTCTCAGCACAGGGTATTTCAACAAGTTACTTATGCAAACAAAAATAGTAACAAAGACAAAAAAAAGTTTTAAAAAAATCTGAAAAACAGTACAACATTTAAAATTAAAGTCATGTTAAGAATGCAGGTTATTGGGTAGATTAACTCTAACAACCTGTTCGTCACAGAGTATATTTGCTAGATAAGGTATTATAGAACATTTGTATTTTTCCTTGCGTGCATGGATTTCAATGTAATTACGTCTCGTTCTACCAGACGATATACAAGGAGAAAGATAAGAGTGAAGGGGATGGCTAGTATCTGATAAAATGACACCTGCCAGGAGTTTGCATGATTTTAAATGTCTATCCACAACCAAATTAATTATGACCTCGAAAGATTCACCACACACCTTGCTAACTGCTTTCAGCACTCTTCGCAATACAGCAAAGTCTTTTCTCAAAAGCCCGGGAAAGAATAATGGGGAATAGTAAAAATAATAGGTAGTATGCAAGCATTGACAAATTGTAAGAGTAAATGACGAGTAATTCCAAGAGCATGCAATCTCTTTATGTAATAGGTCAGACGGAAAACCTTCTTCGATAACGATAAAACGTGGGAAGACCAAGACAGATCAGAGGAAAAGGTGACACCAAGATAATTGACCTTCGACACTGAGTTTATCAAAGAGTCTCCAATGGTACAAGCACTATGGGATCTCAAAATAGTGTTTATATTCCGTTTATGTCTCATGCTAAAGTTAACAGCTTGACATTTAGACGGATGCCTGAATACCAACCAGTGACCATGCTGAGTAATCTATGACATTAATTTTCCACTCTTAGACAAGTTCCCTCTCATATTTTCTCAATTTCTCATCTTCTTGAACAAGTTAATCTTTTGGGAGCTTGAGAAAAATTCAACTCTAGTGTGATTAGTAAGTTTGACTGCATATATTATGAATATAAATTAAAACTTTATCGGATGAATTAACGTTTGCTTGAATGGTAAAAGAATGTAAGATACGGTTGAAGAATTTCCAAATCATAGAGCAAAATGAAATTTTATGATCACCTAGGTGACATTTTGAAGCCGATTAAAACCGTAAGAATCCATCAGCCCCTTATTTCTCGTTGACTAAAGTTAGTTTAGATACTCACTACAATGCTCGAACCAATCTCTGTTAGGTTTGTGGATGTGCATTGATGAAGAGTCCCACACTTAGAATAAACAACCATTGAGTGCTTCTTAATCTCTGGTGGTTGTCCAGCTATAGTCAATTCGTGATAGTAAACTGGAAAACCCAACAATCTCCACAGTCTCTTTACACTGAAAATAGTTTAGTACAGCGATTTAGTGTTTATATTACTGAGAAATCTGGACTTTTTGTAGCTTACACATAACAAGTTTCGCACTCATAAAACCCAAAATAAAAATAGTCCAAACTCAGTAAAATATATACTGATACCACTTCGACAATAACATAACTATCAGTATAATCTTCATGAAAATGGTTAGTCAATCAAATATTTCGAATGAAAGGATTTATGATCGAACAAAAGTTTAATGATCAATGTTTTTGCAAATGCAAACTCTTCTAACAAATCAAGCAAAATTACTCAATATTAATCACAGAAAAAATGTTGGTTATTTTTTTTAAAAAACGTACAATTTCTGATCCAAGATTAGTACATCGATAAATCCATTTCACAGAACGTTCAGAAAATAAAAGCAGTAAATTTGTCGATAACCAAATTGCTTTACATGAAGAAAAAATAATCAAAAAGAAGTTTAAGGATTCGCATTATTATTATTATAAACCTTACAGCAGCGATTATGAACACATGTGCTATTTACGTAACCATGAATTCAAACCTTTTAACATCAATTTAACTCTTAATAAATGTACAGATAGATCAAACTTTTCTAAGATTTTTTCAGTATGATGATTTCGGTTTTAATTACGGACCGGCATAAAATGATGAACCATGTTTCACAAGACATTTGTGTCGGGATATTCAGGAAAATATCCCAAAAATTATCCTGTTAAGCCTAATGCTATCCTTGGACATGGAATGGTATCATCTTATTGGTCAATATTTGTTTAACGTGTCATTTTCCTACTGGCCATTATTGTACAATGTTATTTTCTATTTTATGGTACGTTGTGGTCTGCTTGACTGGTATATAAACAAAGTATGTTTGAAATATAATGATTCATATATCCGAGGCTGAGACTTTCGTTCTGGACTCAACTGGCTGGGTTAGACAGGGAAGCGAGACCAATCAGAACCCTAGGTCGTTCTACGTGTTTGGTCCGATCAATAATTCGCTACCCTTAATCCGCAGCATTATTTTTTACAGTCATAACAATTTGGATCATCAAAGGGTGGGATTTATCAAAAATGTATAAGATATTGAGTTCTGGTGATCAATATGATCCTGTTTTTAGATCACTGATCTAAAATTCTGTAGTATACATTTTTCAACTTATTCGAAAATTAATGAAATAATGGCACCAGTGCCGAATGGCTTCAATGAATATCAGCTTAACCTCTAACATTGTTGACTCTACAGGGGCCATAGCTTTTACTGGAACTTGAGAAATTCATCTCTAAATTTGTCACATTTATAATGATTAGTTAGTTAGGTTATTCGTAAAGAGTTATTCGACTCAAAGATATTCCTCATCGACGAGATGCATAATATCGGATTCTGACTTACTATGAGGTCTAAAGTCATTGTGATCACCACAAAATTTGGATGCTCTAGGCTTGATTACAGTTGAGCTACGAGAGATTGAGCACTATCACGATCCTTTGAACGAAAACCAATCAGGTGTTCAATATTTTCTGATTTTCAGTGGTTCTTAAACTAGTCTCAGTTTATAATGAATTATTTTTGGATAAATTAGTTTTATTCAGAGATATTTATGTCAACTCATTTGGGAATATTGGAGATGCTGATAATGCGTGTACAATATTCTGTGATTTTGCATCACGCATACTTTCAAAATTCGAACCAACTAAATGAAACATCGGCGAATGAAATACACTTTTAAAGCCATGTAAGCAGTTAAACAAAAAAAGATAACTATGTAGATTGACTATGCAGCATTAACCTATGTTAAAAAGTGATTTCACCAGCTACTTGAAACGAGCAATGAAGGAATCCTGAAATTGATCTAGCTTAGATTGACTCGCGAATCCAACTGTTTAAATACTACTGCGGTGTGAGCTATTTATATCCACATAAGTAGTATATAACGATAGTCAGGAATAGAATGTATTTCAGTAGAAGATCGAGAAGGAAAGAACGGGAACGAAGAGAAATTGGTATGGAAATGCAGGGACAATGAAAACTAGGAAGATGGACTGTTATTTGAAAAAGAAACAGTCCAGTTTGAGACAATTGATTGATATTTTGCAAATTAAGTATTTACTGTATGGTTCTCAAATTTTACTAAAATGTTCTGTAATTTTGTGTTTCGATACATTCGGGTGTCCTTACTGGTGTTCTTGTTCACTGCACTACTATCTCCAGAAATCCTAGGCTGTTGTTTAAATGAGTGAACAGAGAATGAAATGCATAAGATTTTTATGTAACTAGTGACAATGTATAGAAACATAAACTGTTTTATGACTTAAAAAGCTTCTGATGACTATCAATCTACCTTTTTTACACATATCCAAGTATCACTGGTCTTCTTGTAAGTACAATTAAGACTTTTCTGCAGATATTAAAATGAATGGTGCTCCATGTTATAGTGAATATGAGATTAGTAATATTCAACTCATAGGTATGATAAATAATTTTGGTTGTTTGCTTAAAAATCCTTTTGTCTAGCTAAAGTCTGTGAACTACTGGTAAATCAAATATTCGGATAAACTTTTAAAATAACCTATATCAACCATACTCCAATTATTTTCGAAGTTTCAACTGAAATTTCGAAAATTGGTCTACATTCACCTTTCATTATGACTGGAGATGATGGTGAGACTCTAATTTATGGACGAGGCAATCAGAAGCGTTTGAGCAATTTCAAGGTCACGTAGCCAAGTTCAACATTTGATGTTCACATACGGTCAGTTTACAGCGGATTCTAGAGAAGAGGTGATTATTGAGAGGCCACAACAGATGAGACTACTAGGAAGTTCCTGTACCAGTGACTGCGGTTATCAAAGGACTGCAGTAAAGTGTGCAGACTACCGTGATGAGATTGTATTTCGTTGTTCTTTATGTTAGAGGAAAACGTCTGCTCGAACGGGGACTTTCTTCGCTCGATCGCGACTGAAACTGAGGCAGATCATGTTAATAGTTGCAAATCGGATAATAAAGACACCAGTACCACTGACTGTGGCGTTTGCAGATGTTACTGAAGCTTCAGCAGTCCAGTGGTATGAGTATTGCCGTGACATGTGCAGTTAAAATGACACGTCTACACCAATCATTCAGAGGAGTAGGATGTATTGTGGAGATAGATGAAACAGTAGTGAGAAAACGAAAATACAACAGCGGACGTAGTATCAAGGAAGATTGGGTAAGTAGCACTTCCGTAAATATACTTGACAGGTACTTGGAATTCATGATCGATCAACTAAAAAAGGGCATTTCCAGAGGGTCAGAAACCGGCAAGCAAGCAAAATAGTACCAATTATACGGGAATACGTGCAGCCGGGCACTACAGTATATACGGATGATTGGAGAGCTTATAGATGCCTATATGGACTTGGGTATGTGCATCATGTCGTAATGCACAAGCGCCATTTCGTCGACCCTACAACTGGCGTTCATACTAATAATATTGAAGCCATGTGGTCCAGACTGAAGGAATTTTTACGACCGTACCACGGCTCTAGAGGATGACTATTATGGAGCCATGTGGACGAGTTCCTATACCGTATGCATTATGATTTCAAAACATGTGAACCTTTATCAAACCTTAACAAGTTTTTAAATCATGTAAAGGAAAAATATCCACTGTAATTCATTAGTTTCTTACAATATATTTTTACTTTATACTAACTGTCTTTTGATTGGCTAATAATTGTCAAGGTAATTTAAGATTCGTTCAAGGTTCGTCCATAAATTAGAGTCTTGCCGAGATGATTAAATAAGTGTGTAATTCATCTATTTTAATCATTTTGATAATCGTAGAACCTGTATTTTCTATTTAGAGTGATTAAGTCGAATTATTCGATGACAGTGACCATATTATGTGGTATTTTTGATCTACATCGAAAGCGATTGTAAGATCTTAAAGAAAGAAATCATTGAGGTTAAAGCTTTTGGTTTCTAAAAGCATCAATATTAGCTCTACGTAAACCAGCGGCGATATATCTTTAAAATTTTATGTCAGTTGTGAAAGATAGAGGATATTCGTTCCAAGTTTTCAAACTATAATATGACACAAATCAATAGTGATTACTGGTAAACACATCGTTAGTAAATAGAGATTGGTTGGTTGGTTTAATTCTACGATAAGTAGAATCTTTTACTGAAATTCCTAAGCAAAATGGACTGTAGTCTGTTTAAATGAATTTGTTCTTGAAGCATCAAATATTTTATTTCGCGTAAATGAGGTCACTTCAGTGTAAGTACTGCATAGATTCATAGGAATGAAGTAATTATTGCGCACAGTTCAGGAAAATCTCTGTGTATTTATATCTTCACTCTGTACAGACAAGTACTTGAAACCCGATTTTTTAAAATTAACAATTGAAGCTGTCTAGAAAATAAGGTCGTTGATTCACCCAACTGTTTAGCTTATTTCAACTTGGATAAGAAAATTCAATTAGGCACTGAACGTATACTATTACACACATGGTAACAAGTTAGTGTTTCTCTACGTTGAAATTACCATAAAGGTTTTATCTCAGTGTAACGATACATCATCTAAGTTCATTTATCTATCGTTCTTGTGTCAATAATTGGGACCAAATAAAAATGTTTAACAATATAATTATGTTACACAGAATGAAAATTAATTGTTAATTCTATATGTTTTTGATAGTTTACATTACGAACTAATTCCAATTAGACGACCATTGAACAATAGGAAGCAGTGAACAGCTATTTTGTCCTTGTATGAGACTCCTCAATAGTTCATATCGCCGACCTCATATTCAGGAGAGTTCAGGACCTTCATCTCTCGCAGCGAACGCTTAGCTTTTATACCACTAAACTGACATCCAATAGTTTACATAGATAACTTAAATAATTTTTATGTTTTATTAAATACAAGCTTTTTATGGAAATCGTCTTAACAAGACAACAACTTTAATTTCAGTGATTCTCAATATAGATCATTGTCAGCTCTGAATTGTGACAACTTGATCCAAGCATTTAAAAGTGAATACAATTTAAAAAAATAAGACATTTACCATTTGTTTTATCAATTCCATGATATAAAAGAACAAATGAATAGGATAAAGTAAGCGCTAACCAATTTTTAATGATAGGAAAGGGAATTAATAGTAATGAATGTTTATAATTTGACGATAAATTGAACTTCATAACAGGTATAAAAATATAACTGGAAAAGATTTTAAAAAAAAGAAAAGTTGATCATAATCTTACTACATTTGTAATTAATAATTTATAGCAAATTAAAAAGCTTAATTTCAGTAATATATTTACTAGTCTAAACAAAGAATGAATGTATGGACGTTTGAGAAGTATTTTTTAATAAATGTTTCAATTTTGATGATACGGATATTTGTACTAAAAATTTTATGAATCAACATAATATCCACTACTTACATTTAACAGGTGCGTATGATAAACAAGGGAGAATCTGAATTGGGTCAGTCACGGGCGGAATAGGTCAGCGGAAAAGTCCCTCATTGTGGGTGACCCTGGGTAGAATCCACCAGGGAGCATCAGTTCTCTCAACACTGCAGGTATGCTTTATTGTTTATAACTGCTTTCAACCACCCAACACATGGGAATTTGTTTATATGGGAATCATCTTGCTGGTAATTAAACTACTAAGTAAATTATTGGTAACAGTGATCAGCATTTCTGTTACTCAACATAGAATAATCATAGTCTCATTGAGGATAAAGTGTAAATAGACTAATTACTACATGAATGCCCCCAAATGCCCTGGTATGGCCGAGAGCGGGGTGGGTTCGCCCTCTCTCTCGAAATACTCTTACACGGCCGCGCGTATACAGCTTCTGCCGGAGAAGTCCTACTCACTGCCTTCTCGTGGCGGGGGTGTTGTTTACGAAAATGAGAGGACGAAAAGCGAATGTCCGGCGCTTTAACCGGATTCCAAATCTATGGTGCACATGGGCACCAGTATCCTGCGGGAACAAATGGCGTATGAACCAATTTTCGGTCACCGGCTACCATGGGACTGCATCTCCTTACGATGCTCCACTGCCTTGTGGGTTAGACCTTTAGGTCAAAGGCTCGGGGTGTGGCCCCCTAAGATAACCACCTGCTTCGGTCTGAGCACCCGGGCAGTATCGCAGCCCACACGCAATTAATGAACTGAACTGTCTATGATCATGGAAACTAATTCTCTTGCTTCGACGAACATTCAAATGATTCAATTGTTATTATTGCTATTATTATTATTATTATTATTATTATTATTATTATTATTATTATTATTATTATTATTATTATTATTTACTACGTCATTATTCACCCTCTTTTATTCCCACTCTGTTTATACTTATTTTTTTCGACTTATACAGCAGCTCGTCTATGGTGAAAATTCGACTCTATCTAAACGTTCTCGAGTCACTGTCCGGTAAAAAATTGTATGTTACCACCAAATACGAATATTGAGGCAATTTTTCCGGAACCACGAGCACCATTCAAACTGGCTGCCTTCAATGTTATCACACTAATTCAGGTCGGACAACAGATAGGGCTGGGTATGTCTTTGGCAAGTCTTAATATCGATGTTTGTTGTCTATCCGAGACCCGTATTCAAGACTCTGGTGAAGTACTACAAATTCGCTCTCCATCTGTCGCTTCGAAAAGCTTGTTTTACGTGCGTTTATCCGGAGACCCTGTGGCATCTTCGTCTGGTCTTGCTGGCGTTGGTGCCGCACTAAGCGCTAGAGCGGAGGCAGCATTAATCGATTGGATCCCCATTAACAGTCGGTTATGTGCTGTTAGATTAGAGAGTTCCATCAAAGTGAGAAATCGGCGTGAGAAACGATATCTTTTCGTCATCTCCGCCTATGCCCCGACAGATTGCAGCCCGGATGCAATCAAAGACGAGTCTTACCACCAGTTATCTGTTCTTCTCCAGAAAGTGCGTTCGACAGATATTGTAGTACTAGCCGGAGACTTGAATGCTCAGGTCGGGCGTCTAGGCACAGAAGAGGGTCGTTTAGGTGGCCGATGGGGACTTGTTGGTCGCAGGACAGATAACGGGGACCGTCTACTGTAACTGTGCACAAACTACAACCTGTTTCTGGCTAGCACTAACTTTCGGCACAGTAATCGCCGATGTGCCACCTGGCGTCCTCCCTCTACATCTCAGGCCTGGACTCAGATTGATCACATCGCGATCAGCTACCGCTGGCGTGGTTGTGTACAAGACTGCCGCTCCTTTTGGAGTACCTATCTGGACTCTGACCATGCCTTGGTCTGCGCCAATCTTACCTTACTTTTCAGTGGACAACGAAGTGACCGCCAGCAAAGGATTGATATTAGCAAGCTGGTTGCAACTTCTGTTGCAAATAAGTATCGAACCGAGCTAGCCTCTAGGCTAGCTACCACTCCACCGAAAAGTATAGATGAGCGTTGATTGCAATTGCATGACGCCATGAAAATGGCGGCAACAGTCAGTTGTGGGTTTGCGAAACGTCCCGCTTTTAAGCACTGGGTTTCTTCTGGTTCCTTACAACTCATTGAAGCCCGTCGGTCTACTCCGGGTGACCGTGAGTTTGACCATAAACGAAGGATGTTACGTAGTGAAATTAGGCAAAGCTTGCGTACGGACCGAGAAGCCTGGTGGTCGGAGCGTGCTAATGAGCTGGAAGCAGCAGCTGCATCTGGTAATTACCGGAAGCTCTTCCAACTCATCCGAGCCACTGGCAGCAAGAAGTCTGGTGTGAGCGAAACAATCTGCGAAGATGATGGGATGCCAATCACATTCATAGACGTCTTGGACGGGGGGTAGATTTTTTAAAGGGCAGTTCAACTGGCCTGCTGCTCCGGCAACATCGGTCAGACTGTCCTACCCTCCATGGCCGGTGACGACTGATCCACCAAATGAGGCGGAAGTCCGCAAGGAACTCCAACTCTTGAAGCGTTACAAATCACCTGGCCCAGATGACTTACCTCCGGCTCTTTTTAAAGATGGTGGTGACTTTCTGACTAAGGAATTGACGACGTTGTTTACAAAGGTCTGGGAGCTAGAGAGTGAACCAACGTCATGGAATGAGTCGATAGTTGTCTCTATTTTTAAAAAGGGTTCACGTCGTTCCTGTTACAACTATCCGGGGATAAGTCTACTTCCGATTGCGTCCAAGCTATTGGCTTCCGTCATACTTCGTAGGTTGTTCAAAACCCGAGAAAGATTGACTCGCGACGAGCAGGCTGGGTTTCGTTCTGGTGGAGGATGGATTGATCATATTTTCACCCTCCACCAAATGTTACAACACCGTCATACTTATCAAAGGCCAACAATCGTAGTGTTTCTTGACATCAGGGTTGCCTTCGATTCGTTGGATAGGACTGTTCTCTGGGATTGTCTATTGAAGAAGGGTGTGCCTGAGAAGTTTATTAACATCCTAAAAGCCCTATATACAAACACCTCAGGCAGAGTGAGGGCATACAACCACCTCTCCCCATTGTTCCATTCGAGCAGTGTGGTTAGACAGGGTTGCCCGATGTCACCATTCCTCTTCAACTTTGCCATCGATGACATTCTGGAAACAGCTCTGATGGATGTAAGTAGTGGTGGTGTGGATCTGTTGCCTGGAGAAAGACTTCTCGACCTTGAGTATGCGGATGATATTGTCTTACTGTGCGATAATGCCCGAGCCATGCTATCCGCACTTCAGTCAGTCAGTCAGTCAGCTACAACATAGGACCAGGCACATATGTGCATCGGTCCAGGTTGCCATACCTCATTAGCACAGCAAGATGAACAGCGGATTCATAGGAGTGGTTAGGTCAAAGGTTGCAATAAGGATATAGTATAGGAAGAAAGAATTAGTTCGTAGACAGAAAGAATGAAGTGATTTTAGTCTCTTAGTTTAAAAGAAGACAGGGAGTGTATACACCAACGCCATTGTGATCGATTCTGAGCCATGTCACCAAGAGTCTCCAACCATTGGTTACGAAAGTCACGCGGACCCCAACCAAGTAGTCTGCATCTACCAACATGGCTCAGACTAGAAGTTAGTGACTTCAGGCACTGATACCACGTTTTGGTTTGGCCGCCCCTAACTTTCTTCCAACCATCCCCTACCCCGGTTAGCATTGCACGTCGTGGTAATCGGTGTTCAGGCATACGTAATACGTGGCCCAACCATCTCAGTCGATGAAGATTCATAACCTCATCAACTGATTTACCATCATTCCCTAATACCCTGCGTCTAACCTCACTATTACTTACCCGGTGATCCCAGCAGATGCCAGCAATATTTCTAAGGCATCTGTGGTCAAATACGAGTAACTTACGGGTGTCTTCTACTCTTAAGGGCCATGTTTCGCTGCCGTAAAGTAAAACAGAACGAACTGCCGCGCAGTATACTCGCCCTTTTATTGATAGACGGATATCTCGCCTTCGCCAAAGATGACGTAAGTTGGCAAAAGCCAAACGAGCTTTTCGAATCCGTGCTGAGATTTCGTCAGACACCAACCCATTAGGGCTGATCAGACTTCCAAGATAAGTGAAGTTGTTGCTACCTTGACGTGGTGGTCGGGCTTGCCTATCGTGATGAAGCAACCGAGCTATACTGGCTGGAACAACCGTTCCTCAAGGTCCTACCATGTCAGACAGGTCGGTTGAAGAGCGGTAAGACTAAAAGCAACAAACCCAAGGTCCGAAGGCGAAGTCGTACTGCTGACTGTACAGAGGTGTGACAGCAGTAAGGTGTTTCCTTCAGACAACCAGCATGACAGCGATGCTGCCTTCCCACAAGGAGGGGTGGGGTTAGAAAAGGTCGACCCTAAAAATGCACACCTCGCCTTATCCCACGGATATCCGTCTCCGGCGGTAAGGTCTCAATAAGTACGGAGCTAACACAAAAATTACCCATAACAAGGTCGTGTGTGACCGACCTCAAGCAGTTGTCCCTTGGGCACTGCGGTCACGCTCTCAGGTCACTAAGACCACCTTTAATCCAAATTCCTTTTCAGGTACCCCCAGAACAACCCTTCCACGGTGTGGGCAACCGGGAAGTGAAAACCGCCCTCATACCTTTAACAGCACTCAAGACCACTATCCGCACTTAATCAGTTGGCAATCAGTGTTTGTAGGTATGGTATGTGCTTTAGACCTTCGAAGCACAAAGTACTTCTACAAGACTGGCGGGATTCTAATCCTGTACTCACCCTGGATGGTGAGCAGATAGAAATAGTCGAGAAGTTCGTGTATCTGGGTAGCTGCATAAGTGCTGGTGGAGGTGTGAGTGATGAGATCAATGCACGTATAGTGAAAGCCAGAGCGGCTTATGCCAATCTGGGCCACCTTTGGCGCCTTCGTGATGTTAGTCTGGCTGTAGACGGTCGGATCTACAACGCGTCGGTGAGAGCAGTTTTGCTCTATGCTTGTGAAACCTGGCCTCTCCGAGTCGAGGACGTTAGACGACTCTCTGTGTTCGATCATCGTTGTCTCCGAAGGATTGCTGACATCCAGTGGCAACACCATGTCAGTAATGCAGAGGTTCGGCATCGTGTGTTCGGGCACAGAGATGATAATGCAATCGATGTCACCATCTTGAAACACCGATTTCGGTGACTTGGACATGTTCTACGAATGTCCTTCCAGAGATTTCCACGTCGTGCATTATTTGCCGACTCTGGGACTGGTTGGAAAAAGCGGAGAGGTGGTCAGTATATGACATAGTGTCGTGTTATGAAAGAAAGCTGCAAAGGACTGGCTTCTGTTGGTCCTTCACGACTCCCTAGTTGGGGTCCGAGAGATGGTCCAACACAGTGGCTAGAGACGTTATCAGATTTGGCTCAGAATAGAAGCCATTGGCAATCATGCTGTAACCTTCTCTTACTTTCTTAATAAAACGTGGTTGTATCTTCCTTATTTGGAAGATTTCTTCTGATTGTACCCTTCTGTTTCCCTATTATTACTATTATTATTACACTACCTTACACCAATCTCTTCGTTATTGTTTTTATTTTGTACGTTCCACCACTTTTTTTCTTTTTCTTCTTAAATTCTCATTGTTTTGTGTGGCGCATATATATTTGGCGCACTCCTGTGCTAATATATATGTGTTCAAATAAATAATAATAAATAATAAATACTACATGAATGATATATCCTAATAGATAAAAATGATACATATAAGAATAGGAAGTCATGACTATCATAGATGATTTACTGATGTCAAAATTTTTACTAAATTATCAAAATTATTAACTGTAAATTATTTACCTATGAAAAATGACTTAAGCTGTTAATGCATCAAGGTTAAAAAATATGCTGAAACTCAATGAGAATTATTTATATTGCTTGAAGTTAAAAAAAACGTGGAGATAATATTGACAAAATAAAAGGTCAACTGGATTACATGGATAAGAAGGTTATCAGGAAAAAAAATCGAGCGACAAAAGCACAAACTTACGATTTAATGAAATTGTACAATCCGCGATCGAATGACCTGAAACATTTGAACATGAGAAATAAGATTATAAGCGATTTAAAAGATTGAATAAACGTTACGAATATGAAGTCCCTACGAAGCAACTGTCTTGTTCAGTGAATAACTTTACCATGGATTTCGTGAAGTTCTATTCGTAAACTATGAACTGTGGAAGTGAAAAATTACAAATTAATAAATTTGGACGAAAATCGTATTATACAACAAATAGGCTCAAGTTGAAAAGATAAAATGATGGATTTGGTGACATAAAAGAAGTGATGCACTTCATTAGGACCTAAAGTTTTTGAACTTGATGTTACGTGCGTTAGTTGGTTCAAACTACTGAGTCGTAAAATAAAATAAAACAGCTTTACAATGTTCTGTAGTAGATGTCATTCAGTATGTATTTACAAACACTAGAATAAACTAGGCTACTGTATTCAAGTTTACGGTGGTTGTTAGTTGGACTTAATGTGGATATAACTATCATAATCTAAAAAAGTTGAAAGAATTGGTATTCTGTATTGAAAAGCGATATTTTTTGTGTCACATAGGACCCTGATAGATAAAAGGATGTCTGGTAAGGCTAATATAAACTTTACACATGATAAATTCTTGGTTATTAATTTACATTTTGTACAAAGATGACGAGTAAATGAAGTTAGTATTTGATGATAAACTTTAACATAATTTGTGAACAAACACAAGTTGTCCTAACCTTGAACTTGGATTGGTAATTTTTAATTCATTTTTACGTCCTAGGGCAGTGTAAAAAGTTCTTATTATTTTTACTTTACATCACCACTCTTACTTCCAATTATCTCTTTATTTTGTTGAGATTTTATCTAATTAGTATAGGAAAGGGTTTTGTGGTAGTCGTAGAATTCTCATGACTTCAATCACGAACTGATATGAGCCAGATCACCATTAAAAATCAGCACGCACCGTACACCTGTTTCATCCCAATATGGAACTTCTTGACAATCCCCCTCTATGACATTTATTAGTTTGCGTATAAAGTCTTGAAAAGCATTTGTGTAACCAAATTGTTAAAAATGTATGACGAGAATACACCATATTTTTCACATCAACTCCATCTTCTCATTACACTATCGAAAGTTGTCAGATATAATAATTAGGCTGACCATAAATTTTTTGAAAGTCACTAAATCAACAATTAAATCGTTACATTTAAGATGTTGATAGAACCACCACTATCTAGAAAGAAAATGTTTAAAATTAAGCGAAATGGCATAAATGATGCAAGATGTCTTTCAGTTTGGAGTTTCCTCACTTATTCAACTTCGTAAGGTATGGTTACTAAGTTGTATAATTTTACCAATGATCATCCTATCTACAAAAAGTTTCGGATAGTAGTAGGCAGTGGGGTCTAGAACGCAGGTTTCCTCCTGTCTGGAGCTCGTCAGCTGGATGTGCCTGGACTCGTAATGTTCACATCAGGACTCGAGCTTAGTGAATTTCGAGTCAAACGTCTTCAACACTATCCACTGTTCGAAAGGTTTTGGACTTGCATCCCGATGCGAACATCATCATGGGTACAGAAACATCCAGCTGACGAGCCCCAGATAGGACGAAATGTGGGTCCTAGGTTCTACTGCTATCCACAATCCCAAAATGCCTGTGACTAAATGAAAACATCAAGGCAATCTACACAGAATGCATACATGCCAAAAGAGACAAGTTTATAACACCAATGGGAAGATTCAAACAACCAATACAAATGAATAAGCTTCCTGGTGTATATCTTGTAGAAAACAATCATATATTTGTATGAAGATGATATTTTGTGCTAGGATTCTAACTGACTGCTCCGTTACTTCAAACTTATCCACTTATGATCAATATATAATTAGACAAAAAGCACTGAGCAAGTAATCAATACGATGAGATGTCTGAATATATCCCCATTCAAAAGGTAATGAAGCAAAATACTCAACAAATGAGGTGAATTGTTCACGGATTTGATGTGTATAGTTGGTCTGATTTCATTTTTACTAGATAACTCCGATAGAAAAATATTTCCTGAAACAATAAGTATAAACAGTCCTTTTGAATATCAACCACCAGTTATATGGATTATCCCTAAAGTGCGTGAAGCGCATGATTAAAAAAACTAATACATGATTGATATATCTGTTTCAGATTCAGGTTTTGAAGGGATTATGGCAAACACTGAATGATTTTACTATATAAAAAAGATGCAACGACTTTCAGAAACATCACATTATTAGAACAGAAGTACATTGTAAACTAACCGCCAACATTCAGAAATCAGAAGGAAATGTAAGAGACATGCTGGTGGTTCAGGCATGAACGAAACCTGAATTAGGCTTGGGTCACTATGAGATTTTCTTGTTTGATCAGTGACAGTAGTAGTAGCTTTGGTGTTTCGCCCACATGATTGAAGAATATTCAATAATTTCTGTAACAAATTTATGAGTAGGCATTCGAAATTTGAAAGTACGTATGGCCATCCATAAAATTGTAAATACATAATGAATAAATGTAAACTACGTAAATAAATACTTGCACCCACTGTACCACGATCAATAATAAGATAGTACTGATTTGATTTATTTTGTATAGATAATTCACTAATTTGTGCATAAGAAATCAAATAACCGAATGAATTCGGATAAACTATACAAAGGCATAATGACCAAAATGAGCTCCAGAATATCAACCGGATAGCTTTGGAAACAAGTGATATTAGTGTGTCGAGTAATGTTCTAAAACTGGGTGACAGATGATTGGAATGTAAACTATCAAGATTTTCCTGCAATTTAAAAAAATAATACAGTTCACTCCTGTTATCTTATTTATATTAAACAATTAAAATTGTGCATTCGATTAAATGAGGTTTAAAATAATCCCAGTGTGATGAAAATAATATGCTATCATGAGAATCGCTTTAGCATATTAGCTTAATAACGAGTAGTAAAGGATCAACAACTAAATTAAAAAGAAAGCTGAGGTTATATGACAGAAGTGTTTTGTTAAAAATTTCAGTGATCTACTTGGCATAATATTTCATTGTCGATGTATGATGATTCTTGTTGGAATAGATAATCAAGGGAATGTTCAAGTTGTTTCTTCCTGGTTTTCATAAAGATAATTGACAATATGACAATAATCAGTCACTTAACAGACGAAAAAAATCATTTCATTTTGCCCGTATTTGGATGGAATTCCTTGTAGTGTCGGTTGCTATATCAAGCCTACATAGCTTATTCTAGCTTACGGACAGGCCAACTTATTCATTCTTCTTAAATCACATTTTGGTCTTGTCAATTATTCGCTTATCAACCTCGACTTTTTATGTAAGCGTATATGTGTGCATTTCATATCTTATTCATCACATGTCTCTAACTTATTTTTGTCTGACCATAAATTTCGATTCACGCCTTGTTAAATTAAGTTGGCTCACTTGCTGTCACCACTGTGCGTCATTATGTTTTACTTCGCTTCCGATCAACGATTGTACGAAATATACGTGTTCGAAATCCATTCTCGTATTTGACTTATTTAATTCCGTTATTCACTAACGCGATTTAAGTCGATAATTATATACGTGGATTGGTGACGTGCATATTTCAATAACAATCATTCATACGATCCGAATGGGGTCAGATACAAAGGGTCACTAAATCCTACAACAAAGTTTTCAGTAATGTAGTTAAATGAAGAATTACATTTAGAAATATAACTTCCAAAGAAACCCCTTTCTACAAGTGAGACTCTAATGTATCCAAAGTCGCTAGTACAGTTCACATTGTAATTTAAAGTTTTGACAAGTGTGCTGGTGGGAAATCATTTCAAAAGATTATATTTCTTTCTTTGTTGCTATTTTTCTAAGATAGCCACATTAACTGGAATACGTTTTTCGCGAAGATTTTGAATTTGTTTATAAAAGCAAATATCAGTGTTTAGCGCCAAATTAGTATGTAAAGCATAATCAATTTCACGAATTGATTTCAAGTACAAGTAGTAATACATTCATTTATTAAAATAAAAATATTAACGGGTATCCTTTTTTAAACTACTTCTCTAGTGCCATCATAATTCAGACGAAAAATATTTCAGTGTCATATAAATGAAAGATTGACTATCATATACAACAATATTCATGAATAAAGTTACTATCACATATTTAACGACTACGTAAAATTGAACATAAATGCATCAAGACTTTCCGAAGTAGTTCAGTCCACAGAACCACTCTTCAACAACAATTATGGTAAATGTACAGTTAAACAGTCTAAGATTACATGAAAATATGCAGTAACGCAAGTATAACCAATATTTCGGTTAAATATATGTATAACAGAAGGTGCTGCAACGTATACTTATTGTATATTCGTAACTTTTGATGGATTAATTTAAATAACCAATAATGAGACACACTGTAAATAAATATGGATTTCAAATGTATTTTTTACTGGGATATTCAAAATCTGCTGCTTCTCGTTTTAGGGATATATTTCGATAAAAGCACCTTTTATAAGATGTCTTCCTTTTTTATTTACTGTAATCAATAAGTATATATATATATATATATATATATGCCGAGACTTGAAGAAAATCAGTGTCTTCTTGCTTTAACTATGGAACAGCTAGTACGTATCACTTGTTATGAATGAAAAATAACGGAGATTTTGATTTATAATTTATCGAAAATAAATCTGTAGATTCATAACCAAATCTAAATCTACTGAATTATTTACTTAACTGACCAATGGTCAGATCTAAATACATTGAACTGGGCGATCGCTGGCGCCAATTATTCACTAGCCTAGTACTTGTATACACTTTATAATACTAATAAATTTGACTATTTTGACCAACAAATATAACTAAAGTGCTAACATATATGTTGGATCTTCCCCAATAATATACATGTATGATCGTTGTACAGAAGTTGAGAAATTATATAAAAATAAAATAATATTTTTATGAGAATGCTTACCCAGAAATTAACCCAATTTGAATACAAGACGAGTGGACCTAACAGCAATGAATGAGGGTATAAAGAATAGTCTAATACATCCAATAAACTTTCTAGTGAGGATTTAGGGGCACAGTTAATGATTGATTCCTCTTTTTCTGTCTTTTTGACAAAAGATGACTTAAAATTGTTCGAACATTTATGGAACGATAACGCCACACTTAAACTGCGTAGAACTATATAAAAATGCGCAGCATACAAGATCATATACCAGTCGTATGATATCAATCCAAAGTTAAACGATGATTCCTGGTTTAAGCAATGTATAAAACACAAGAGGTGATAAGCAGTTGATAATTGTTAGGGAAAAAAGAATTTAGCAAAGAAATTTTTTTTTCGACGAAATCATTTACTTAAGCTGTACATTCGTATATATAGTTATATGGAAATAATAATTGTTAACAAACACATCAAAAATATTTACGTATGTTTATATATTTGTACCAATCCACAATTTGGAAGATACATCTAATGAATCAAATGGTTATCTTTTTAAGAATAAAAGAAGTTTACAACAAAACGCCTCCGTTTTGCCTCTTAAAAATTGATTGCTGTTTTGTTCCTTACTTTTAGGAATTTTAAAGATTTTGGACAAATTAGTTTCCATTCAAGTATCAAAATTCGAGAAAATAGCTTAACAAGAAAGGGTTTCTGGTAGATTTGATCAAACATATCTGTCACTACAACTTTTCCACAAATAACCTCTAAGAGACAAAGTAAGCAATATGAACTTAATTTTAATAAGAGATTATCATATACCATTGAAATATCAATCTGATTAGAGTTAAAATTAAAATTGTTTGGAAGCTGTGGTTGTTGTTTATCAATATCACATACGAAAATAAGAACTAAGTGCTTTGTACTTTCAGATGCTTTAGGAATTTGCATAGCAAAATGTAAGAACAAGTGGTTTGGTTTCTAGTAAAAGTGAACAATTTGAAAACACTCATGGTAATTCGTGCTTTAGAACGAAATCTTTGTATTTTAATGACTATAAACTTCCATAATAAGTTGTAAGCTACATTGTCGAAACTTTGTAACACATTTTATACTTGTGTAATGGACATATACGAGAAATCATCGAACTTTTAAAAACTGCTACAGTGATTTCATTTTGATATAATTCAATCTATTTTAAGAGTTATTTCAGTCTTTTTAATACGCTTTACATTAAATCTAAAATAAATCCGTTTTTTGATGAAGCGTTTTGTAACAGATTAAGCAGTCGTTAGTGCTATTTACTTTGAGTCCTAACACAAAAAACTATCAAAAACACCTCCATTACTTTGGTGTTCGCCAGTATTTTATATAGACAGATTTAGTCTTTTCACCGTTTGCAGCAAACTGTCACTTCAGTAAAATCAAAACGAACTAAGTGAAAGCATATACACTTTAAATGTGTCCTACATGGCTTAAAAGTTGAAAACACATACAATAGTGAGTCTCGTAAAAGAATTAAGGAATTAACTAATATTATAGTTCGTTGAACTTACAAAGGATTCAGATGCTTGAAACACTAAAACTGCAAACGCCCATATCAAGAGCCAATTTCCAGAGACCAAATAACTTATGCATGAAAAGCATAATATGTTCAAAAAGACGTCCATTAGGATTTTATAACCCACCAAATAATTTATTAGCCAAATTGATAATATTATTCGGCAACATTTGAATATCTACACTGATTGAATAGAAACAAGCATGTAGTACTTTTTTGTTCACCAACGCAAAAACGAATGATGATACGATCGAATAGAGTAAAAGATAAGGTACAAAACTCATCCACAACGGAAGCAACGTCCACTGAAATTCAGCTGCATCTTGCATTAGCACCAAATTTTGAGTTAAACTAACATTTTTCAGTCGTAATAAATTTAGATTCACTGAATTTGTCATTATAATTTGAAAAAATATTTCACCTGGACTTTTCGAAGAGATAAAAAGCTTATAAATCGAATAACTTGGGACAATTAAAGCTATGCCGACATATACAGTTCGTTCCAGAAGAAAAGGCTCAGTCTTGACAGCCATTTTTTTAAAAAATAATCTAGGACATGAAACCTGAAGAACAAAAAGGAAGCTCAAATATATCATGAACGGTTTCAAAATAATGATCATGAACTTAAGATTTTGGGGTATAATTTTTTAAGTACGTATGAAAGTCCAGTTTTTTACATGAAGACATAGAAATGAATACATGCAAGTGAGAAATGTTTGACGACTGTTATTCCAACTACTGGATGTAACAACCTGTATATTGTCAATAATATTCAGTTAGGCAATTAGCTTTTATTTTTATTTTATCCAAATTTTAGGCTTGATGTGAAATAAATACGATAGCTGTTGAGTAGCCACTGAGAAAAAACTACAACTGTCAAGTAAAGTTTGATTAAATCTGACCACATGTATTTCTGCTTTGACGAAACGCTACTAGAAGTTCACCGACAACCCGGCTAAATCTTTTTAAATGCTCAATATAAGAGGAAAGTTTCTATTATTTACGGATGACTTCCAAACAATAACTTAAGATGTGACTTAGGGTTTGTATGATAGGCTCGCAAAATGTTTATTTAAGCTTTTTTGAGCAACTAGACAATACAGCTTGTCTCTCGTATTGTTAGTTTATCTTACAACCAGCTACAGGAATTCATGTGCGAGCGATTTTTCCAACACTAGATGTTTAGTCAGTGTATTCACTATTGTGAAATACACCAGCTGAAATGGGTGGTCAAAAGCTAAAATTGAGTGTATAAGTATTTATAACAGCATTTTGACTGCGTGGTCACTTTTTATAGGAGTGACTCTGTGGTTAAGGTAACTTATTTTTAGCCGCTAGTTCACGTGGCGGGGCTCTTCTTTGTCATACTTAGTTTGAATAGTCAAATAGTATTATAATTTGTAGATGAAACTTAAGTACACTTAACAATAAACATATGATTGTTGATTGGGTCGTCATCCAATGATAATTCGATTAATTTGACGATGGAGAAGTCAGGAACACAAACTTTAAGAAAAACCGAACTGTTTTAGATGGAAGCTATATGATTATTTTCGTTGAATAAACAAGTAATTTTTCGGAAGGTTTTTCAAAGGCGACATACACTGGTAGTTTAGTTTTGTGATGCCTTCTAGACATCGCTCCCCGTAACATTACATAATTGAACGGAAATACTTTTTTATGGATTACTGAAGAAACAAAGTGGATGCTGTGGAAAAATGAGAGGAAATGTGAGGAAAAACCATAAGGATAGAAATAATGTGTTGGGAGAACTTCGGTATACGTATCACAGTTATTCTCTCTCTAATTCCATTTGGGACTAATACGACTTAAACTTCAACGCTAGCTCAATGAAGCAAACGAGCTCCCAATTTGATGCTTTGTTAAACTATATCATTTATATAAAACATATCAAAGCATCTCGAGAGCTATATGTTAGCAAATTTAAAATTCAGCAAATCAACTCTCTTGACGTTTTAATATGAAACCACATGATAATATACAAACGAGAATCATTACCAGAATTGACGCGATAATTATTTAACAACATTAAATAAACCACAATACGATTTGCAATACTTTGTCCAATATGCAATGCCCATATAACGATCTAATCTAAGAATGGTTCAAATGGTTGTGAACGGAATAGAAGAAGCTTTCGCTTAACAGGCTTCCGTGTTTAGTAGCAGGGGATCACCAAATCCTCCAGGCAGGAACCTAGGTATGTTAACAATAAAAGAGGAAAAGAAATTGGTAAATCATAGTGTGATGCTGTCCTTGGTCCTTAAGAATAAGTCAAGTTGCCTCTTGAAGGACTCCTGAGAAGTCGCTTGGACTAGCTCGGCCGGCAGCGAATTCCAGCTTTTGACAACTCTTAAGGAGTAGAAGTTGTGTCTACATTCCGTCTTGCTATGTTGTTTTTCCAATTTCTGGGTGTTACGCCCTAGGTTATTATTCGAACTAAACTTAGGTAGGTGTTTAAGAGGATGTCCAGAAGTGTTAAGAATACTATAAGCCATTAATAAATCACCTCTAAGACGCCTATACTCTAATGGGTAAAGGTCTAGTGAATGGAGGCGTTCTTCGTAAAGTTTAGATTTGAGTCCTCGAACTGATTTCGTGGCTCGCCGTTGGATACGCTCCAAAGTGACCTTATCCTTTTGGAGTGAGGGGGGGTACCATGTTTCCGTACTCTAAATGGGTACGGATGAAACTATTGAAGATTGTATGGAAAGTTCGTCCGTCAAACTGTCCAAAAATGCGCTTCAACGTTACCAGTGCAAGGTTTGCTCAGAAGGTATTTTTGTCACATTTAGCGTAAGACTTTAAATCATGGGGCACCAGGACTCCTAAATCTTTTTCGACTTGGGATACTACTAGAGAGGAGTTTCCTAAGTTGTAACTGTAGTTTTCGACATGTCGCAGATGGACTACTTTACACTTTGAAGTGTCAAAGGTAAGTCTGTTATCGTCTGCTTAACTTTGAAGTCGAGTCAGATCCTCCTGAAGTGCCTGTATATCGTCTTGGTTGCGTATCTCTCTCCAAAGTTTCACGTCGTCAGCAAAAAGTATTTGAATTCATTGATCGATGTCTTGAAATGAAGAAAAAAAATAAGTCTCTTAATTTTAGTAGTATAAGCAGAATAAATAGGTAGGTATTATGATGCTTACATTTATAAGTACATATCATTAGAAATTTTGATGGTTGATATCATTGGTCATTTGAAGCTAGACCACAATGGAAAACCTGGAAACATCGGACAGCCAATTCGTCCTATTCTCGGACTCCTCAGATAGATATTAACACCGTTGTATACAGGCCCAGTGATGCGGAGATTAAGAGTTCGCGCGCGAAACCGACATGTTCTGGTTTCGAAACTTGCGAGACAGGATCTTGGATGAGCACTCTCGAGGAGTCCACAACAAGACGAAATGACCGCCCAGTGCTTCCAGGTTTTTCATGGTAGTCTAGATTCAATTGACTGATTATCTCGACCATTAAAATTACTACCATTGTTCCACTGTTTTTATATCCGAAGACTAAACTCTCAGTATGTCAAAATCGCACATTACGTGCGTTTTATGAGTCCGCCTTATATGGCAATTTAAAGTTTTTGAAGTCATTCAGTGACAACATGTTCCACGTTACTAGTTTTCATATGTTCACTAATTTAGTGTATTGTGGTCAGATCATTCCGGTCTTTTAACACGATATGTGCAATGAGTACATCAAACAGTCGTCGGTTGGTTACACTGATGAAATACCAGGACAGTAACAATGAAAGCGTCTTTTTTAATACATAGCACACCTAAGATATCGTAAGGTTACTACTACAATACACTCAAAATGCAAATTAACCTTTTCAAGTTCAATTACCTGGATTAACGTCTAAAGTACATATATAGGATGGTTCTCTCATATCAGCGGACTGAAGATGGCGTTTAAAATGGGCTTAAACTGTAAAACGCAATGCCATAATTACATAAGTTTATCCTTTCCATTATATGTCGAAGCGGGATATTGAATCATCATGCTTCTTGACAGATATCGATCATTCCCTTACGTGAAATAGATATAATTTATTGCAAATTTTTCGGAACCATAAGACAAACACAAAACAATGTCGTTGCTAGCATATACGTCAATCTTCGATTATTTATTTATGATTTAATATCCAGGACTATCGATGAAACGAACCTCATGATTTGCGAACTCGTTATTAAAAATTCTGAAAGTTCATTTGACGCAGAGAACTAAATAATGCCTTGAGGCAGATGTTCTGTAATCAAAGCAGCAAAAAACACTTTTTGCGATGTTTAAGAACTATAAATTGTACAGAAAATCTTTTGGTTGTTAGATTTTGTTTATCTCTTCAACCTTAGGCTAATTTCATTATTCGCCATCGAATAGTTCAGCGGGCTATTGGAAATTACGAGTTTAAGCGATGTTGGCTGACGGTTTCCCCCCAGGTGAGGTTTCACTTACCTACCTTTTTGTTTACTTTACGTTCTTTCTTATTAAGTTTGATCTATATCTCCTTTATCTTGATATCTTGTCATTTAAATCATGTTACCTTTGTGGCTGTCTCAAATCTACCTGTTGTTCTAAATACACATGTATACGTTATTTTACCTTTACGCTTCAAACTGTTCAGCTTACTTTTCAAATATTTGTGTATGGCAAGTAATGGAATATTCACGTATCCTATTAACTCACCAGTTTCGTTCCTTTGGGTGACTTAATTTCTCCGTGTTCAGTTTGTGTGTAATGACAATAAATCTGAATTTTGGTCAGTCGGCTACCGTACACTTAAATATAATCCGTTGGGCTACCACTTGACTTGATTCATTGCCAAGGGTTTTGTTCAATCAAATGAAACAAAACTTTTAGTTCATGCCTAGACGGTTTTTGTTTTTTAAAATCCTTTTGTTTATCACTCCTCTTTGCTATTACCGCATACTTGTTTGTCTTAAATAGCGGTTATTCAGGATCACGATGTTTCTCAGACCGATTCAATTTGCTTTCCTGATTATCCCGATTACTAATAACTGCCATTCGAATAGCTCAAACTCTAGTGCGTATGATTATTACTGTAATATTTTTTTGGTTATCTTTAATCCTAACCTACTTCATTTTGAAACTATCCCCTCTGACTTTAAGGTTATAAGGTTTTAGTTTCATTCATCAATACTACTTTTCATGATTGTCAATGCACGTTTTGAATAATCTTATTGGACTTGTGTAGCTGTGTCCGTACTTAATAGTTTAACGGATTCGACAGCAAATTTGTTTCGATAACCGCCCACTGGACTCCACGGACATAGTGTTGTTTTTATGAAAATATTTAAAGCTCACACAGTGTATTTCAAGCCGTTTTTCGATTTAATTATCGGGTTTTTATCTAGACTGTCGAATATGCTCATAGTTGTGGTTGCATTTTGCTTATCAAGGCGCCATAGTTGGTTAGATGTAGGCTAGATTTTAAAATGTAGTCAATTAACTGCGCATAGATTGTTTAACTTAATGCAGTCACATTATTTGGGGGATAATTATGATACTGATAGTCATGAAATTTGGCGGATTTATGCTAAGGGTATTTACCCTATGACAGTATTGGTTCGCTCAACTTAGCGGAGGTAAGATAAGTTTTGCACCACTATGCCTGAGTAGGGCCTTAAGCACACAAAACTGAGTAGTTGCTACATAAATATGCATTTCATTGTAAGCAAAGAAACAATTAATATATTGTTGCAATGTATTCACTTTTCACTAGACATCTATATATCTTGCCTATGCGGAAAGCGGTGGTTTAAAACAATGTGGATCTTTTAATCTTACCAAAAGTCAAATACTAACTCAAAGACACGAGTTCAGTAAGAAGTTATGTTGCTCGACTACCGCACTTTTAGTGACCATAACGATAGTCGTGCAAAAATTCCCCTAGGTCATATTTCGAAATTCGGAGTAGGATGTTGTAAGAAGTGCATCCCAAGTTTTCTGAGTAACTACTTCTTACCTACCTTGAAAACTAGCAACATTAAGTGTCTTCAGATAGAGTACAGCATGTTTTCCAGACACCTTAAAAATTGTGGCATAAAAATCTTCGAAAATGTCGAGTAAGGTATCGCCAAACTGAGTGAATTTTAACACTATTAAGGGGGTCATTGTGAAAAAAACACAGACATAATAGACAGGTAAATGATGTCACTTCGGTTTTGTGATGGAATATGACCCATTCCAAGCAACGTTTAGTCGTCAGTATTCTAATATCATCATGGTTTGGCTGTTCATTTGTTCTTCTCAGAGATCTGAGTTGGTTTTTTGTATTGGCGCGTTTCTCCATTTACTACTGCAATTACTCTCTTAAAACTGTCTCACTTTAACACCCATCTTACTCTTCCATTTATATTTTCAGGTAAAATGGATTGTTCAAACGGTTGTCCCATCTCGGAGAAGGGTAAGACTAATTGTTGGCAGATGTTTTCATAAGGCCAAAACAAATTTGGCAGTGCCTATACATTCGATTACTTTCGGTTAAGTGTTTTCTTTCAAGTGATCTTTATTTCATGACATAAGTAGAAATCACTTGTGTAGGTAGCTCGAGTTTCATAATCGCAAAACATATTTCTAGTAAGTAAGTAGACCATCGCTCATCTCGCTGTAAATTTCCGGTAGATGCACCCCTTTTGAACAAATTTTCATTATTCCCTTAATTAGTTAAGTCCAGGCCAAAAAGGTTTTTGTGCTCCACTTACATTGAGGCGACGATCAATAAATAACCTACAGCTGTTTATATGAACAATTGATGTGTTTCCGTAGTTTATGAATTCCAAAGAATGTCCAAAAAATTTGTTTTTAGATTTCATCGATCGTCGGTCAATTACGTAACTGAAGTTCAGCCACCAAATATGTAAAACACTGACCTTGAATTTACAACTTCGAGGAAACTTTAAAGCAGTGATCTTGAGTATTGTCAGACGAATAATTATTTCAATTCCTTTGCTATTCATCGTGTTAACTTCAACTTGTACAAATGTGTTATGAAAACTGTGGCTAACATTTGCAAGTTCAGATGGTATATTCCACCTTTGTATACTTCCACCAATATATTTAGGCCGATAATGAGAGATGTAAGTTGTGAATTGTATAAAACACATCCTGTGCTGTAGTCATAGATTTCTCGTCGTGTTCAAAATCATAGTCAAACCTTTGCTCGCGAGGAGCAGGCTGGGTTTCGTTCTGGTGGAGGATGGATTGATCATATCTTCACCCTCCGCCAAATGTTAGAACACCGTCATACTTATCAAAGGCCAACAATCGTAGTGTTTCTTGACATCAGGGTTGCCTTCGATTCGTTGGATAGGACTGTTCTCTGGGATTGTCTATTGAAGAAGGGTGTGCCTGAGAAGTTTATTGACATCCTAAAAGCCCTATATACAAACACCTCAGGCAGAGTGAGGGCATACAACCACCTCTCTCCATTGTTCCATTCGAGCAGTGGGGTTAGACAGGGTTGCCCAATCCCACCATTCCTCTTCAACTTTTCCATCGATGACATTCTAGAAACAGCTCTGATGGATGTAAGTAATGGTGGTGTGGATCTGTTGCCTGGAGAAAGACTTCTCAACCTTGAGTATGCGGATGATATTGTCTTACTGTGCGATAATGCCCAAGCCATGCTATCCGCACTTAATCAGTTGGCAATCAGTGTTTGTAGGTATGGTATGTGCTTTAGACCTTCGAAGCACAAAGTACTTCTACAAGACTGGCGGGATTCTAATCCTGTACTCACCCTGGATGGTGAGCAGATAGAAATAGTCGAGAAGTTCGTGTATCTGGGTAGCTGCATAAGTGCTGGTGGAGGTGTGAGTGATGAGATCAATGCACGAATAGTGAAAGCCAGAGCGGCTTATGCCAATCTGGGCCACCTTTGGCGCCTTCGTGATGTTAGTCTGGCTGTAGACGGTCGGATCTACAACGCGTCGGTGAGAGCAGTTTTGCTCTATGCTTGTGAAACCTGGCCTCTCCGAGTCGAGGACGTTAGACGACTCTCTGTGTTCGATCATCGTTGTCTCCGAAGGATTGCTGACATCCAGTGGCAACACCATGTCAGTAATGCAGAGGTTCGGCATCGTGTGTTCGGGCACAGAGATGATAATGCAACCGATATCACCATCTTTTTTTACGCTCCCTAACTTTTTTTCTTTCTCTTCGAATTCTCATCGTTTTGTGTGGCGCATATATATTGGCGCTCTCTTGTACCAATATTTATGTGTTCAAATACTAATAATAATAAACTTTGCTCAATAAAAAGATATTTTGTTTATTTTAGCACTAAACGTGGTACACAGTTTTCAATCTAGTAAATTGTCAATTTATTCAAGCTCTAAATGTTGGTGATGTAAAAGTATTGCTCTTAGCTAAACCTGATATTTGCCTTTCACTAATATGACTAAAATCAATTAATACTATTCATATTTTCTTTTTACTCTATCTTTTCAACAGTACGCTCTATCGTGTACTGGCGGCAACCAATTGTAACAGGCGTCATACTGACTCTCTTGTTGATTGTCGAATTTAGTTTTATGTGTCTTTCTGCAATCTCCTTCATTGCTTATATCGGATTAGCCCTTCTTGTTTCCGTCAACTTATTGCGTATGTATTATCACTTTGTGGCTAAAACAGAAAATAATTTTGTCAGGTCAGTTCTAGTGTTTTAAAGGTACTTATAGTAAGTTTGTATTTGCGTATAACAATCCATTCAACAACGAGGTTGTTTGTAAAATATGTAAATGAAGTTTTACTCTTGCTGTTAATATTTAAAATATATTTTCATACCCAAATCGAAACTTCATAGTGCTAAACTAATCGGGTTTGTTTGGTTGAAGATGAATGCTTTAGATAAAAAATTGAAATATCCGTTAGTTTTCTACTTATTTTAAATTTCCATAGCAATCCTTAAAGTATAATCTGGACAAACTTCATTCACTTTGTTACTGTACAGCTATTAAGCACGATTTTAGGTTAATAACATGCATTGACTGTCGATGTCTAATCGTAGATTCGTTTGTAGCATCGTTCATGGTTACCGAAATCTTAAATTTTACATTTTAAATAAACGGAAGTTGTAAGTCGACTCACGAAACAATCATTTACTGACTGAAATACTAGAAAAACGTATTACATATATTCAGTTAATACCCAGATTAATGTCCAGTTTTGGGTACTATAGGTGAGCAGTGACCATAAACATATGTCGTGTCCATCTATAAGTATATTGATCAATAGACTGAGCCTTGTTGCGAAATACAGGATTCCTGGTTTGGATCTTAGAGATATTCATGATTAACTGTTAAAGATATTTCAGTGAATCATATGTACATTTTATCTTTAGGACATATTCCAAACCTTAAAGTTCTCGATAGTTTCGGTTGATTTCCATCTCAAAAAATATTAATGCTTCTCTTACAAATCTAAGGATTATTGACGACTCGTATGAATCACTTATTTAACATGGTAGAAATCACAATACAATATATATTTATATTTTCCTTAATAGGTATTTGTAAATTTTATATACTTACATCCTTTCACTTGGCATATCATAATTCTAATCTTAACCAACTTAAGTAGATGTTTTGTTTCACTTAAATGTAGGGAATATCTAGAACGAGAAATCACTGTGCCACAAGATAAAGCAGAGAAAGTTTCTCGACGTCTCACTGAAGTTTTAAACAAAGGGTTAACACGCACTAGAGAAATATTCTTACTCACGGACCCCGCCGCATCTGTGAAAGTATGTTTATTTCATATTGATTAACCTTAAAATGAGTATATAATTGATGAATATTGTCAATTTTTCGCTGTTGAATTCCTTTCAGCGTTATTTAATGAGATATCTTCCTTACCCGACCAAACGAAATTTGTTTCACAAGTGCATAAACCAGTTTGTATAACTGAAATAACCACTGTTTTCGAATTAGATTTCATTATTTTTGGACCGAAATGGTATCATAACACTGAAAAGTGGTCGTAGTTTGACTAAAATAATATCTATGATTTTCAATCAGTTTATTTCATTGATCTTTTCATTAGATTATTTAACGATTATTTTGGCCTCCAATTATTCAATGTGCTGCGAACGTATTCAACTAAAGCTACATTGAATTCTCCGCATAAATCCATGCATTTGACCTTCTTGTCTTCGTAGATTATCACACTTTCCACCAGAAAATGATTTGTTCAGCCTACAGAACTCATATATTGATACTTTCTTAAATTATATATTTCAAAGTTCGGTGCACTATACATGATTTAACTTAATAACCAGTTATCTACTAAGTCCAAATACTAACACTAACTTATCTGTGACTTAATGGAATAAGTATAATTTTAAAACATTTTTTCAGTTTACATCCTCATACTATGCCTACTTTGATCTGGACAGCCCCTTGACTTGTAAATAAGATATTAGTGGATGTGTGGATAAACTTCTGACCAGTCCAGAAATATTCGAATCAGAACTTGTCGGGACTAGTTTTCATAATTATCTCGACATTTCATTTTCATGTCATACACTACATATACTACTACAAACCGACAGTGCATATTTTTTGTATATTTTCAGTTCGCTGTACTGTTATATCTACTGACATACATTGGTGCACAGTTCAACTTCCTAACTTTATGCATACTATGTAAGTTCCTTTTTAATGATAATCCAGTTTTATGCATCCCGAAAAGCTGTTCGCTTTTTTTTGTTTTAAGTTCCAAACATCAGAATAACACTGAGAGATTGATACCGGTTTCACATACTTTCATATCTCAGAGGGAAATTCCCATATTGTTTCACTACAAGCTAAGTGTTGCGGTACGTCCCAGTAATGGCAGGGATTAGCTGAAAACACAAACCACTTTTTATGTAGACATCTCTCTTTATTTTTCACAGTCCGCAAATTTCTAATAATAATATTCCAAATGTTAGACGCATACTGTACAAAATGTCCTGTGGCTCACAATAGCTTTGAGTCCATAGTTTTATCTACACATAGTCATATTTTTTTTCACTGTTTTGGTATTCTAACTAGCTATACTTTTACAGCATAGTACCAGATTAATGTCACTCATTGTTCTTCTAATTTTGGTTCTTTTTTGTTTCCATCGCAGTCACTTTTGGCGTCTTTTGTGTGCCGAAGTTTTATGAGCGCTACCAAGTAAGTTTTTCCCCCAGAAATTACATATATACCACGTAATGAAATTATTAACTAAACTATGCATGTTAATATGTTTATTATGTGCCTGATCCTACGTTGTAGCTTACTGACTGAGTATGTTTATTATCTGGTGATCGACGTATATCGAACAATGTGATGTTAAACTTTATCTCGTTGTGATTTCGAGTTGTCATTTGATCGCTTTTATTTCTCAACATCTGTCATCCCTCTTGGTTGAGCTCATTTTACTTATATATTTGAACACATAAACATTGGTACAAACGGTCACCGAATACATATGCGCCACACAAGTCACTTGATTTGTGTATGGGCTGTGATACTGCTCGGGTGCTAAGATCGAAGCAGGTGGTTTTCTTCCGAAGCCTTCTACCTAAAGGTCTTATCCACAAGGCAGTGGAGCAACATCAGGAGATGTAGTGGCATAACAGCCGGTGACCAATAACTGGTTCACACACCATTTGTTCCCTCAGGATCCTGGAGCCCATGTGCACCGTTTGTTTGGAATCAGTGTTTTCCAACTCCCTTAGGTGGATCCTCCATATCCACCAACCCAGTTAAAGCGCCGGACATTCGCTTTTTGTAAACAACACCCCCGCCGTGAGAACATTCGTTTACCAGGTACAGATCCGTATATTTAGTTTCGAGCCTCACTTTGTGTGGAGACCAGTGACACTACCTCGTTGCTCAGACTAAAATAGGTGGAGCAACCTTCGAACCTGGGGCTTGTCAACTGAAGCTCAAATGTCGTAGCCACTTCAGTTTACAATATTTCGACGTTTTACCCATATTACGTTAACCGTCTTTACTCTTTTGTTAGTTTTAATTGATTCATCATATTTACGTTTCTCCTCAAGGACATGATCTCTTGATCATAGTGTATTCCTAGCACCCATCATTATAAATATACCTAACCCAAAGGTTTTTCATACACTATCTAAATATGACTTATATATATCTCTTTGTTACCTAAATTATGCCGTAGGTTTATAATGCACTCATCTATTAAACTTTTGGGTATTTAGAGATCTTCAGAATCCTCTGTTTCAAATGTATCGCGACCATTATTCAGAGATGTTCATATTTCATTCTTTTTACTCATGGATTTAATATGATTATGAACTTGTGCTCACAAATGTAGGGAATAACAGTCTATCCGATGATTCCGTCTGTCCAATGGAAATTATTGCTATAATTGTAGATTTAGCTGAGCTTTTATGGTAATACATTATTAATTAGTTATACTCGTTTTCATCTGAGAGATTTTCTATTTACAATATTTCTGGTATGAAGCAGACTTCGTCTTTAAGTTGAAGTATTATTTTCTCAAAATAATTTGAACAAGTTGAACTTTGAATTCATTTTGTGTCAGTCTTCCTGTTTATTGATATAATGGTAATTTTCAGAACATAGTTGCAGGTTCAAGGATTCTTTTCACCTAGTTCAGATTTAGAGAGCTAGATACTATCATTAGCAGCATGCACACATAAAAGCACTTAGTTCGAAGTTGAGTACATGTACCTAGACTTAACACATAAGTTATGTTAACACTATTTTGTAATGTTGATTGCAACATAGTTTACCAGATGCGTTAATTCTTCATCGTCTAGATTTTGTATTCCAGTACTTCGTTCCACCACACCATTTCATTCCTTCTCGAACCATATTATCGCTGTTTATTCCCTCCCGTTATAATTACTTCCACATTATTTCCATTTCTTTTGAATCTATCTTGTTAGTTTCATTTTGTTTCTTTTCTTACTTTGTCTTCTCCCACATTCTAAGATTCTGCATTCCTTATAAACTTTGCTTGTTTGTTTATTTCACTAGTTTATATTTTTTGGGATTACATCTCCGATCTTTCATGTTTTCTATTACCACTTATGCTGTTACTACCTCTACTATGGGATTTGACCTAATAATTCCATCTGTCCGTGCTTATGCGGCATGGCCCATTGAACCGATGTACGTACGCGCCAGGTTCTACGTTGCGAATGACTGTCTGTCTTTCTGATGTGATGTGTCAATATGTCACGGGCTATATGTTAATTATTACTGGATGACTATAAAAAAGTAATTCTCCATGTTTTTTGAGGTGGTAAAAACTCTCTTTTTATTTGTGAATTCCAGCCGGAAATCGATAAAATGATTGAGCTAGCGAAGTCAAAAGTAGATATGGTATCATCACAGTAAGTCACTCTTTCACTGATAATATTTTGATGATTTCATTTTAAAATTATTGTTTCTGTCAGTTCCTATTTTGGTGGAATTGTTATGTAGTCGAATTCTGCGCCAAATTTATTGATTTCAACCATTGGTTCATTACATGGTTAATGTCCAATGTATTGTAAATATATCGGTTCACTATTGGTCTGAAGAAAATCGATTCACGTTTGTGAATAGCTACCGTTTAAGTAAATTAAATTATGTAACAGTAAAGTTGATCATTTTGTAGCGATCACGATAACTGTAATTAGTGTGATGCTGAGTAATTTTCCATCTGAATATGGACAATGTGTGTACTATTTCTTCTTCCACTGGTATTTCGAAGGCAGATTTTAAATATGAGTTCTTTTTTCACTATTCTTGCTTCTCCTGATTGATACTTAGAAATTAAATTAATTGCATCATCACAACATATGATATCGTTCTAAAACATTCTTGGTGTATCATTTAACTGTAATTGTTTACACCAGATATTTCTTTTATATATCTGACAAAACGAAACCCATTTTGAAAACGAGCTACAATCTGATGATAGTCTGGCATCCAGCAGTTCTCACTTTTTTCATCAATTCACCTTACTGTATAACCTTTATCCTTTGGCATCGATGGTATTTGTTCAATACCCGACATGGTTGAACTACCCACCGGTCACGGCTTCTCGTTAAAATTTTGGGGATTTCTTGTCTACGTCAAACACTAATAAGCCCACTGACTATTATTAGTACTAACCTTAAATGTATCGTCATCAGACATGTGCTTATACCTATCGTATATGAATTGTTTCAAGTGAATATCCCTTTATATGCATAGTGAATGCTTGACTAATTAGCTTTTTTTTCGCAGGGTTAAAACGCATCTCGAAAAGTTACCAATTATTGGTGGTGGTCGAAAGGAAAAAACACAATAAGTTGCCTATTTTCCAACTACAATGATCATGCCGAGTCGTTCCAAGTTCTATGAACAACGATAAATTTTTTCCAAAGCTAACTTATAATAATTCTTTTTCTTATATAAATATGACAAATGAAACTGTAAAGCATGTAAGAAGTATAATAGTTTTGTGCTCTTCCTCTCTAATTTATATTACGTAAATTTTTTCTACCAATTTTCATACTTCATACTTTTATGTTTAAATAAAACTAACTCCTTTCAAACCTCGTTAATCATCCCGTAAAGAGAAAATTTGTGTTGTCATAAATGTTTGTCGAGATGCTTTTTGTAGTTGGTTTCTGCTTCAAAACCCCAAGTTTATTTGTTGGTGTAGAAGGAAGAGGAAATTGGATTGCAAGAACTGCTCATTCTTTTGTTTAACTGATCAGTATTCACCGTCATCATCATCTCTTCTTTTTTCCACTGTGTTTAGATTACTATTTATTGTAATAAATTTCTGATTTCTTTCCTTTTACACCATTAAACAAAAAAACTTCCTATCATATTATTTTCAAGCGTTTCTTGGGATTTTGTTTTCGTATAGTTAAGCAAAACTTTGTACCTATGCTAATAGTGTTTGCTTCTAGCTATACACAGACAAGCAGATTCAGTCAGTTTAGCGTACTTTCTTTGACTTGTGTCGTTACTTCTCTCCATGATGAACCCCATTTGTTGTTGTTTACAGTTTTTACTGTCTTGTTCATCACTTCTTTTTGCTGGCTTCATTTATATCTGGTTATTTGTTATTTTACCATGTATCACTCGCCACTCAAATGTGTTGTTTTTTTCCCGTTTTTTGCGAAGAGCATTTAATGACACATTAGTAATAACACACTATTGATGTTGCATTGTTATACTGACTGTTCGACTGGTTATTGTTAAATGCTGAGTGAAATGTTGGTCTTTTTTGTAAGCGTTTTTTAATTTGCATAATGCGTGTTCTCATTCGAAGCCCTTTACCAAAAATAGATATGGTTCATAATTTATTGCATAACTAGTGTTGTTGCTTCTTTATTAGAAAATAATCTTTTAATGTTAGTCTTTTTTGTACCCTGTTTAATTATGCTTACTTTTAAACTTCTCGGCTTAGGTTATTTCAACTGGTGTCATGTAGTACCTGTTTGTTCAAAAACAAGAATGGAATTATTTGTACTTGGAAACAAATCCATTTATTTACACTCACAGGGATTTAATGAATTACAGTATAAGTGGACATATCTGGATACTTGAAGATGTGTACAAGTATATTTATTTCTGACGTCTTGTTGATGAGCATAATTCAATTTCCTCTTTCATCTTATTTGATGTTTCATTTGAAAAGTTGGGTTTTTACAGTGATATGTCCTCAGAAGGCATGTAAACAGCTTCAAATGATCGAAATGAAATCTCCAGCGAAAATCATGCGCTGTTATACAGTACCCACCCACTAAACAAATGAAAAAGTGCCTAGAAATACTAGATATAATACTTTTATTTAACACTGAAAAAGGTTAGATAACCTAACACTGATGAATTTCTGATTGAACTTTGATATAGCCGATGATGACTAGAGTATTAAGCTTCATTTAATTATTTGAGGATTTCTGTAGTTTATCGTTATTTATCAATAATACATAAGATTTAGCGCTATCACTGTTTGCTGTATTGCATACTTCTAATTCTGACTTAATTTGTATAAACTAAACTGTCCATCCAGTGAAAACCAATCTCGTATTAAACTTTACAAAGACATTGTATATTCTGACTGAATTTATTTTCTTGGCTTCTAATATTCTGCATATTTTAAAAACAAACTAATTAAAAGGACATTTCTGTTTTTCAAATGTAATATTAAAAATTACTGAGTTAATTAATATGTTGCACTTGTTAATGTTTACATGTTGAACTTCATTTCTCTTGTAAGCCAACAGGATTGGATAACATGTCGACCTATTGTCATTTTGGTGGAGTTTTGTTCTCTGACCTGGATTGTTTGGTCGTGGAGCTTCAGATAGAAGTTTGTGCTGATGATGTCGTTCAGAAGAACGATGAAAGCTCCACGACCAAACCATCCAGCTCAGAGAACAAAACTCCACCAAAATCATCCACCTGAGCTACAAAGCTTCTCCACCACCTATTGTCATTTATTTGACAATATATATCTGAACTTTGATTATACAGAACTATGTGAAAGAACTGTATTCAAGTTTAATTGTCAAGATAGTTTCAAATACAATTACATTTTTGTTACTTCTCTAATTATTATTAATTCCTAACAGAATTCAGTTATTGTCTATCATAATCACATCTTTTTTTAAAAGAAAAAAAACTAAATATGGTTAGTTCATTTGGATCAATAGTTATTGTTTCTGCGTTGTATAGGGAAGGAAGTTTATATGACGCCAATTTAAGTGGTTTAATATGCACCATAAAATACTTAAATGAGTGCTCCTATTTATACAAAAAAATCATTATTTACAACTCACTTCTAATTAACATTTTTGAAATGGTGAGTTAATATTCGAATTCTGTATTTGACGGAGGTCAAAGTTCAATTAATTTACTAATAGTGTCTAAATACATAATGCTGCTTACTCTGACCGTTTGCCAAATTTATTTTGGTCAGCTTATGAATCACTAAATTTTATCTATTGACTAATTTCTGTAATTAATATTGTTATTTTTATGGTTGAACAGTTTTTAGACTGACCTGTAAAAATTTCTATCGAAACTATTTCTGTTTTGTTGATTGATTTATGAGTAGAAATTCGTCCGGGATTGACTGAAGCTGTGAAATAATAAGTGTGAATATCTAACTAAATGGTTTAAAAGTATCGTGATTTGAAGTTCCTTTGCTTGAGTCCATCAGAAAGCAGAATGTTCTGCTTAAAAGTTTCAGACTAATATAAAAGGTTTGTCAAATACTTCATGGTCCTCAATGATTCTATAGCTATCTATCGATTCGTAACATAAACTTCTTTAGTGTAATTAAATGTTTAACAGGAATTAGTGGTTATTCGTCATAGTTTGGAATTGACAAAGAGAATAGATGAAAACAAGATTGGATTGAACATATAGTTAGTCAGTTAATCGAATAGTATATAATATATTATTATACATGACGAATTAACTAGGCTCTAACTTGGTCTAGTTACAACACCTAACAATTTTTCAATAAACTATTTCTACTCCTAAATACTTCGAATCATTTGATACAGCTACATATATTTTTTTCTTATGTCAATAATATCGAGTGCCAAATAAGTGAGAAAGTTCCTTACAAAATAGTACAGTTTACTATTTTTGTTTTAATGTCACAATATTTCTCAATATAAACCTAGACTCAGTTAAAGTACATTCAAGATTATCTACATTAAAATGATCGCAAGTTTTATTTTCTTTCTGATCCTGATAGTCCTATAACTACTCTGTATGTGTAATCAAAACAGTATACAATTAATATAAATTAAAATTGTAGTTCAACAGTCCAGCTGATAAAAAAATGTATCAAGAGGTCAGATAATATTAAGTCCATCGGCAAATTACGTGTAGTTGTATATTCCTATATTTGGTTAGCCTCTATTAGCGTATACGCATCCGGAACGAATGGTTTCGCTATTGTCATTTAATTATAAGTTTTATTAGATCTGAATTTTGGCTAGTAGTGGAATTTAGGACACGAATTTTGTCTTACTTGAAACCCATCAGTTACATGTACCTACTTCCTAGTGTTGATGTTCACATTGGGATTCGACGTTTTAAAAGAAGCTGACTGAATGTAAATCACAGTGTGAATACCAACACCGGGTTGTAGGTACATTCAGCCGATAGTGACCAAATAGTTTTAAATACTTGTTTTGGCTTCCACATTCTGAGAAAAGCTGATTTTGCTAGAGCATGTAATTATTCATTATTCAGAACTCACATTTATATTTCACAAAGAAAATAGATTCTCATTTTATAGGTACAGCTGTGCAGCTTAGTGACTAAGCACAATTTCAATTGTGATACAAAATTTTGTATATTATGGTTTATGATAAAACACTAAATCTCAAATTAGAATGGGTAATTTGAAGTTTCAAACTTGCTACCCATTAGATTATAAATGATCGCTTTCACCAACAATTGACTGCAAGATATGAGATAAACACTCATTTTTCTGATGGAAAATCATGGAGACCACTTACATACTTTTATTCATGTATCTTCTATTGTCTGCATTAGAGTTTTGTGTAATAAAACGAATACACCAATGAATTAATCCAACAATTAGTTCGATTTATCCAATAACACACTGATCTTCTAGTTTTATTATGAATAACTAATTAATTATTGCGACAGCTATTACGTAATATAGAAGTTTATTTGAATTCTCGACTTATCATAAAAAATTCGTTACTTTAGTCAGTGGTCACATGAACTGACGATTTTTTTATGAAATATGTATGCTATTAAAAAATGGGACGTAGGTCTATATAAAAGAATCTGTGTTTGCTTTCTATTTCGATGTTGTTTTCCATTGATTTGCTTCAAAATAAATGTCATTTCGTAAAAATTGACTGCATGCTAACTTAGTGGTGTGAATTACAAGTTCTCGATGGAGAGCCCAAAAATCCTAGTTTTGAGCCACGACGTAGTCGTGAATGGATACTGCTGAGGAGTTCCGTACAAGGACGAAACAGTTCTAGTTTTCAGCCGTCCAACTAAAATCGATTCGCGATATGAAAGTATGAAATATTATATGATTACTAGTGACTAATTTGGAGATGGAATTCCCAGAGTCCTAGGGAGAAGCTGTGAATAATGAGGTTAGTCGCATCATGATTGTGGAAATTGCCTACGAATGGAATTGAATGATGATCCCTCAATGTCGCAAACTGATTGAATTTAGAAGTTTACGCCGTTGAATGGCAATTCAGTGGTCTAAATGTTAACTAATTACTGTGTGGCGTTCGATCCATGTCCAGGAGGTGAGTCAGCATTGTAGAATTAAACAATAGAACAAGACAGTTGTCCAAAGCTTTCTGGTTTCCAATAGTCATTTTACTTACGTCAATGTGTGTTGTGTAAAATTGCAAATTTGTCCAAAGTTATTTTAACAAAATCATTATACTAGCCACCTTGTATATTGATGAACAAGTGATCATTGAAAAACTGAAAGGATTGTATGGTAAATTTTACATGAAATAACGAATATTGAGATCTCTTTTAATAAAATAGTGACTTTATATTAAGAACTAGTGCATTACATTAAACTCGACACGTGAGATAATTAGTCGATTGATGTTAGATCACCATTGAAAACCTGGAAGGACTGGGCGGTCATTTCGTCTTAGTATGGGACTCCTCAACAGTGTGCATCCACGATCCCGCTCTCTGGATTCGAACCCAGTGCATTCAAGTTTTCAATGGTGATCTAACATCAATCGATTTATGATCTCAATAAAAAATCTTGACAATCTCTACAACCCCATACTGTTAGTCGTAAGTTATTCTAATTAATTCATCAATCCCTTGAAACTTTAACAAATGATCAAAGTGGCAATAGTCATAAATTTTCTCTCATCATACATAGAGTGTAACGGTTAGAAACACAAGTTCACACTTAAAATACAAAATTTCGTCACAACATTCGTGGCATATTCAAATTCTAAAAAAAATGGTTAATTTAAGTAATTCATATTGTTATTATAAAGCATCAAAAAGGGTGTGATCACAAACAAATGACCGATAATGAATCAAATATGGTATTATTTACACCTATTTACAAATCAACAGTAAACATGATATGCTTATAATAGTAATTAGAACAATTAACATTATCGTCCATTTGGTATCGATTATTATTACTGTATGATTGTCGTTAGTTTTTCGAGATGCTACAATATTTCTACATATTTGTATCATCAGTGTACACAGAAAGCATTTACTTTGTTTTTGGTAGAAAATCGATTGACTGATAACTTAAACGTTATAGTTAAGCTTTTTAAAAAAATCAAGTTTTTCCAGTGATTTATATGTTATTAGATATATACAAAGTTGTATTTGGTTGCCAAGTGCTTTCATACCGCAGATACGAATAAATGAAACAATAAATGATTTTCTTTTTTAAAAAACTTAGAAAAGTAATTAATCAAAATAATCTGTGACACTAACTAACAAACTATGTGATGAAGCAATTTCTTTTGTGGTTAATATTCCATAGTGAAATGATTTATAGGTTATTGTTAAAGAATTTTTTTAAATATCTAATTGTATGTAATTGTCATTCAACAAAAAGAACAAGCAAACTATTAACGAAGAAACAACTGTATAGCTTCATAAATCTTAATTCGATTTCATTTCGATGTTTATTTAACAAGACGAAAGTGTAAACCAGTGTATAATGAATTTAGTCGACCTAAAAATGAAATATTTACACATTGGTGTTCTAATACAAATGAATAATCGATGAAAATGTAAAACATTCGATTCTTTTTCTCATTGATTTAGTGATGTAAATTTTATGTCTTGTTAGATGTTTATTGCTGAGCAATTCAAAACACTATGATCTGAATTCGATTTCCAAATGATCAATATTACTATTACCCTATTTATTAACCACCATATATTTGATTATAGTGAAGAGTTATCAGCTCAGAATTGTGACAAAATTTCTGTTTACGGGGCATTTAATTTAAAACTATTAAACAGTATTTTTTTTAACAATGATCATGTACCATATATATCTACCCGTAAATGTTTATGACCAGTCCTTTTCTCTTTTTATTAACGAATATGTTTGATGCATAAATTCTGTAGTAACTGCCCCTAGTTTCTGTAAAGATTAAGATATATATGTATTAATAATCATAGTGATACTGCTTGACTTTGTCAGTAATTAGATTTGTGAAAGGTCTTAGACATGTTATGGAATCGTGTTAATACAGTTGGTTGACAGGCCTAATTA